GTGTGTGTGCAGTCGGCTGAGCGTGAGCCAGCAGGGTGCCCAGGGGGACAAGAAGGCCAACGGCATCCTGGGCTGGGTGAGCAATGGTGTCAGCAGGAGCAGGGAGGTCATCATGCCCCTGTGCTCAGCTTTGATGAGGCCACAGCTTGAGCCCCGTGTTCACTTCTGGACACCACAGGACAAAAAAGACATCGAGGGGCTGGAGGGGGTCCAGAGAAGGGCAGCAAAGCCAGAGAAGGGTCTGGAGAACAAGTGAGATAAGGAGCAGCTGAGGAAACTTGGGGTTTTCAGCCTGGAAGAAAGGAGACTGAGGGGAGACCTTCTCGCTCTCTACAACTCCCTGACAGGAGGTTGTAGTGAGGTGGGGGTTGGTGTCTTCTCCCAAGTTACTAGTGATAGGACGAGAGGGAACGGGCTCAAGTTGCGTTCAGCTTGGGTATTAGGAAAAATTTCTTTACCAAAGGAGTTGCAAGGCATTGGAACAGACTGCCCAGGGCAGTGGTGGAATCACCATCTCTGGAGGTGTTCAAAAAATGTGCAGATGTGGCACTTTGGGACGTAGTTTAGTGGTCACGGTGGTGTTGGGTTAACGGTTGGACTTGATGATCTTAGAGGTCTTTTCCAGCTTTAGTGATTCTGTGATTACAGAAATAGAAACTCCTCACAATGATGACACAGAGACGTGACCAAAAGATCCCCAAAAGGGAGACTTTGGGAATGTTCAAGGGGCTCGGAAATCTCCCTGCTTTGCTGGCAGCATGGTGCTGAGAAGCCCAGTCCTGCTGGTTTTGGTGGGGTTTAGGGTTTTTTCCCATTCGATTTGGAGGAGCTGGAGGCAGGGGTCAGAACTGGAAAGCGGAGAAACCATGCAGAATTACTCTGGAGTCCAGCGCTTGGGAGGAAAACTGGCTCAGGAGCCGCTCGGGATGTGTTTTGTCTTCCTGGTGAACTGCCCAGTGCCAAGCCTGTCCCTATTGTCCCTCATCTCATACCCTCTGGATTAAATGCAGGTGGCCTCTTTTTCTGGCAAATCCCTTGGAATTGCAACACGAGTGCTGGGACCCAGCACCGAAGACCTTGAAAGCACCGTGATGGCCTCACGCTCTTGGGTGCTGCTTCCAGTAACAATATTTTTCTCATTTTAGTGTGTTTCTCCCCCTCAAAAAAAAACTGAACAGGGTCAGCTGTGAGTGTGGGAATGCACCAGCATTGTCGGGGAAACAGAAGTGTTGGAGGTGCTCCACACAAAACTTGTTTCTCCTTCCAAGCAGACTCTGTCGTGTGCTAATTGGTCTAATAAATATTAGCTCTGTCAGAAATTGCCTTTTTTTAATATATCCTGGACTTAACTATCACCGTGAGGTAAATTCTCTTGCTTTCAAACGTGTCGAAATCACCTCATTTTTGCACTTTGAGCATTGCTGCTGTCTCCAAAGGATCATAGAATCATAGGATGGCCTAGGCTGGAAGGGACCTTAGAGATCATCTAGTCCAACCTCCCTGTCATGGGCAGGGACGCCTCTCAACTGGATCAGGCAACACATGGGGACCAAGCAGGAATCGAACCCATGACCTCGGCATTGGTCATTGTTGTCAGCATCGCGTTCAAACCACTGAGCTAAAAGAGATTTTTTGGGAGCAGCCAGGTCCATGGTGAGCATCAGGCTGGGAAATACTTTCTTCTGGGACTTCATCCCACCCTCTTACCCTCTCATCTGGACGATGCTCAGCCCTGTCCAAGTTCTGGAGATGTTTCCCATCCTCTCCCCAAGGAAAGCCTGAGAGGAGAGGGCTGGAGCCTCAGAGGTGATTGTGCGGGGACCTGATGCTGTTGGCTTCCCCTTCGTCCTTACTCATAAGCACTTGACCTTACTGTCACAGTCGTGGAGCTCTAGACAATCAAAACACTCCCTAACATACAGAGCCACCCTACCACCTCTCCTTCCCTTCTGAAGAGCTCAGAGCCACCCCTTGCAGTCATGGCAGTCGTCCCACCATGTTTGTGTAGAGCTGACCATGTCATAGCCATCCTGCTGCACAATGGCTTCCAGATCCTCCTGCTTGCTGCCCGTGCTGCGTGCATTGGTATAGATGCACTCAAGTAGATATGTAGTTAGCTGGGCTATCGATTTTACCCCCAACGCTGGCATGCTGCCCCTTGGCTCATCCCTACTGAGCCTGGGTTTATCCCCTTTCCCCTTAGAACCTCGTTTAAAGCCTTCTTGGTGAGCCCTGCCAGCTCATGGGCAAGAATCCTTTTCCTTCTTGGGAGCAGCTGCACTCCAGCTGTCACCAGCAGGCCCAGTGCCATGTAAACCTCCCCATGATCAGAAAAAACAAAATTCATCTGTTGGCACCAGGCTCTAAACCGCATTAACCACGTGTGTTTTCCCATTCCTTTCAGTGTTCTTCCCTGCCCCTGAAGGGATTGAGGAAAACAGTACCTGTGCTCCTGATCCTTCAACCAGTCACCTCAGTGCCCTCAAGTTCTACGACAATTATCCTCCTTTTTTTTTCCTTAATAGAAGTGGTCCTTATGCATGAGGCTGACTGACTCAACCTCGGCAACCCCCTAGCTGGACCTTCATCTACATCCTCATTTTCCTGAAGTGCCAGGGCTGAGTTATTTCACAGAGAGGCTTCGCTACCTCACTATATGATGGAACACGCATCCTCCAAAAACCTACAACAACTAAGAAGACCCACATCTCTTTCTTGTTGGTAGAGGAAGACATAGCTGTTATCTTATTCACCACATCCATAGGGATGGGGCAGTGCCCATCTTGCATGTAATTCCCAAGAATTGTATCTCTGGGGCAGGTCCCTTGACCTTATTTCTCTTAGTGACAAACCCAGCTTCCGACAGAAAGTGGATTATCTTCCTACATTTTTCAAAGACCTCCTCCGCTGTGTCACCCCGTACAACGATGTCATCGATGCACTGCAGAGGCTCCGGGGTTCCACCCTTCTCCAGTGCAGTTTTGGGGCAGTCGATTGCAGGTGTGCTGGACGCCAAGACAGCAAATCAATGCCAAGAACTGCAGAAGAGATGGCGTGTGAATGTCATCAGCTGCAAACACGGCAAGAGAAGGTAGAAAAGGTTGCCCCTGTATCTATTAGACAAGAGTAATTATGTTTGTCCATTGAAAGATTTAAGACCACATTCTCATAAGAAGAAGGGGAAAATATTCCATATTCAGAGACTCCTGCAATGACTACAACACAGGTCCCTGCTGTCGGCACTGGCTGAAGTCAAGCTGGCCCTGCAGCACAGAGCAGGCAAAGATTGTGCCACAGATCTTTTTAGGAGGCTTCGTTTGGTTTGTTGTTTTGTTTTGACATACTGGGCACCCCCATCTCCAATGATTTCGTTATCAATGATAATGACAACAGTCTCCTCTTCCTCAAGGTGCACTGTTCCTAAATTTTGTTTCCCTTTTCTTTACCTTGAACACCTCCGTGCCTCTGTCCCCTCAGTCCAGGACTGCTATTTAACGGCACTACCAACAGACCAGCTTTCTGCTCCTGTTCATTCTTTATTTCTGCTTCAGCTCTTCCATTAAACACCGACAGAGCAATGCTAACTATTTCATCCAATCCTTTGCCCAACCGCCCTGGCACCTGTTTAGAAAAATATTTCTTAATATCTGGGGCTGATTGACGTATGAAGAAAGAGAAGGCTGAGAGAAGATTAATTTTCCTCCTTCTCAGGGTCAACTCCTCCATATTCACTTGTTTAACCAACCAGGTCTAATACTCAGAGGCATGTTCTGTATTTTCTTGCCGACATTCTCAGGCTTTAGCCCAGTTTGCACTCTCTCTAAGGACTCTAACAATCCCCAGTTACGCCAGTGTTTATTCCAGATATACCAACAATTCTTCATAGTGTTGGGAATTGATTCTCCATTTTTTTTTTGCATGAATAGCCCAGCTTACTATCAGCAAAAGAAGCAGGCTGTGGCAGATCATTGGGGCCGGGTCAGGCGAGGCAGCTGGATCCCAGCCGGGTCACCAAACTTCTAGAAAAATTTGCAACTGGCTCGTGTCAACTAAGAAGAGTGCCTGGGATGCACAGCGTAGAATTGCAAGGGTAAATATTTATTCATGCCCATGAGGTGTCCCAGCCAAATTAGGGCGCCTCAGACGGGGTTTTACACACATACAAATTTATACACTTTCAAGCACTAATCACTTGTTAACACGCACACCGCCAATTGCTAATGATAGGAAAACTTGGCAAAGCAACTGTGTTTCTGTAGTGTCATCATCCATCAGCGGTCTTGGGGCTTGACTATTGATGCAGGCATCCTTGGAGTTGGTACTGCTGTAGTTACTTATCTATGACAGCAAAGGCTTAGAGGGTCTCAAAGATGTGTTAGAGGGGCTAGGGTGTCGGTGTTATCATGGTTATACAAGAATATCCTTCATCATTCATGGACAGCTCCGTAAGGGAAGGAAAA